AAAAGGTAGATAATGAAACAGACTGTTTGCATTGGAATCTTGCAGGAATGACATTTGGCAACACATGGGTTGATTTCTGTCCCGTCAGTTTCTCTCATTTTCTCATTTCTCCAGTCTTCAATTCAGTTCTCCATATTTCTGCATCAGTTCAGATGTGCTTTTAAATCCTCATAGAAATTCATGAGCATTTTAGTACACATTTTCACAAAAGCACGCAATTTGTCTGCATTTTTCCTCCTTCACATGTTTTTGGAAACAATTTCCCTTACTAGCATGCACAATTGCTTTTCATTTTTGCAGGCATAAAAGCATTTTCATGCCCCTCCCTTTCACTGCTTTTGAACATATTCTTTTGTTGCAAAATTGCGTTGCAAAATTTGGTGAACTGCAAAATTTGTAGGGTGGGATGCAGGTGGCACTGTGGGTTAAACCACAGAGCCTAGGACTTGCCAATCAGAAAGTCGGCGGTTCGAATCCCCGCGACAGGGTGAGCTCCCTTGGCCAGTAAAGCAAGATGAGCACCGCAACCCCAGAGTCGGCCACGGCTGGACCTAATGGTCAGGGGCCCCTTTACCTAAAATTTGTAGGGTAGGTGTTTCTGTTGCAGATCATTAGAGTATAAGAGGTTGGTTTTGGCCCAGCCTTATTTGAATTGGGAGAAGCAGTTGATGGGTTTTGAGGGCAGCAAAATAACTTTTGGCAAAGCCAGCAATACCTCTAGGTTCAATCTGCATGACCGCTTGATGTGGATCTCAGGTAGAGGTGTATGAAACAAATACTCTGAAGCAAAACTCCATAACCAAAACCAATATGGTTCTTCTTGACAGTCATCTAATTTCCCAGGACATTTCAGAGGTATTTCATCCAAGTAGAAAGGTTTGAAATCTGCTTTCAAATTTTGCTGTACATGAAGGCTGAAGAACATTTTGCCCTCTGGATAATAGATGAAATACAGTTTCCATCAGCCCCAGCAAGCACGGCCAACAGCCAGGGGTGATGGGAGCTGTAGTTCAGCAACAATTGGGAGACAAAATTTATCCACAACTGTATTAGATAATGAGGTGGTGGAGATGCTCTGGGAGGTACCCCCTGGAGAGCTTATGGTCCATGTTTTCCAACAGCAAATGAACAAATCTTGGAACAGGTACTCCTCTAGCCCCAAGAAAGAGATTGTTCTCAATGAGAACTGAAAGCTTCTACCAGACTGCTTAAGGGCAACAGTGATGAGAAGGTAGGTCACTCTGCAGGTCAATCTCTGGGTGATCTGCCGTGGATCTGTTAGGGATTGTAATTCCATATATTTCAGCAGAAGCAAGATGAATTGCCTATGCTTCCATGGTCAATGTCCAGAGAACCTTCCTAACTGTTAAGAATTGTTTGCTGGTGGAGCAACCAGCCTCTGGGCAGCCATCTTTCAGGAGTGTTATACTTGCATTGAGCAGAGGGTGGTAGTGAGTTGCATGGCCTTGGTGGTCCTTCTCAACCCTAAAATACTATGATCCTAAAAGTCACGTTTTCAGATTTCATTTCCCAGTCATGAGCACTACATACCAGCAATGTTAAAGTTTTGTTAAAACAAGAAGAGCTATGTAGAATGACTTCAGATGCTGGCATCTGACTTTGCATGATACATCTTCAGACAGGGCTCTGCCTCCCAGCTGAATGTTTTCCATGTGGAAAGAACTTCTAATTACAGTAAGTAATTGAGCGCTCTGTTTATGAGCATGAGTTGCTCACAAACCTCAGAACAATAGCATATGCAAGCTACACCCTACAGGTCCTTTTCCTCATAACAAGCTAAAGCCGCATTCTTGTATGAGATGCAATCTCTCAATTCCTGAGGTTTCGTCAATTGAAATCAAAGGAATCATCAAAACGATCAATGTGTCTCTGGTTTCTTGCGTTTAAGCTGTGCAAGAACAAGGACTGATGGATACAGTCTTGCCACACAAGGTTGTTTCCACTGATCCAAACAATGTTCTGGTGGGGTACAGTAAGCCATCAGAACAGAAGATGATACAGCAGGGGTGGGCAACCCTATTTTTCTTCTGAGGGCCACGCAGTCTCAAGGGTGATATAATAAATAATAATATTTTTTTATTTATACCCCGCCCTTCCAGGTTCAGAAAACCGGGCTCAGGGCGGCTAACAACAAATTTAAAACACTCAATTGATGCAACAAAAAACAGTATAAAATACAGTATAAAACGTGAATAACAATAAATTCATAATTCAAAAATCAATTTAGGGGGGAAATCCATCCAATAAACATTAGATGATCACCAGGGCTAGCTGGCTAAATTAGCCCTATTTGGGCCAGCGAGGAGACCAGGGGAGAATTAGCTGTGGGTCCCAGAGTGGGCAATCTTCATAAAAAGTGGAGAGGGAGGGAAGGAAGGGGAATAAAAGATCCAGTAAACCTGAAGGAGCGTCTCCACCTCCATCGTTCTGCCTGGACACTGAGGTCCAGCACCAAGGGCCTTCTGGTGGTTCCCTCGCTGCGAGAAGCCAAGTTACAGGGAACCAGACAGAGGGCCTTCTTGGTAGTGGTACCCGCCCTGTGGAATGTGCTCCCACCAGAGGTCAAAGAGAAAAATAACTACCAAACTTTTAGAAACATCTGAAGGCAGCCCTGTTTAGGGAAGCTTTTAATGTTTAATAGGTTATTGTATTTTAGTGTTTTATTGGAAGCCGCCCAGAGTCACTGGGGTGGGGAAACCCAGCCAGATGGGCAGGGTATAAATAATAAATTATTATTATTATTATTATTATTATTATTATTATTATTATTATTATATCAGGCTAAGTTCAAATTGAAAGCCAGGCAGAATAGCTCTGTCTTACAGGCCCTGTGGAAGGAAGTTAAATCCTGCAGGGCCCTGGTCTCATGAGACAGAGTATTCCACCAGGTTGAAGCCATCACTGAGAAGGCCCTGGCCCCGGTGGAGGATCATCTGACTTCCTTAGGGCCCGGGACCTCTAAACTATGATTATTCATGGACCTTAAGGTCTTCTGCAGGGCATACCAGGAGAGGCGGTCCCGTAAATACGAGGGCCTTAAGCCACATGATGATATGATGCGGGCCTCATGGATACCCTGAAATTGGATGCTCAGAAGGAATGTTTTAGTAAATAAAATTTCTCATTTGCTTCTTTGTTCACTTTCATCAAAGGTAGGCTGACTCCAAAAATGTATGTTCACTAATGCCTCCTTGGTTGTGATTGAGTAGATGTTGCTCAGAGTTCCAGCCAACCATGCCCTCTTATAAGCTACTCCATTCCATTCTCCTAAACACCCCTCCCAGTTTTCCATTCCCACACCCCAAATACTGTGTTTTGTGCCCCCTGCACATGCTCAACCCTCAATGGGCTGTTTTGATCTACCCAGCTGAATTTGTTTTGTTCTTCTAGACACGTTGTGTTTTCTTCCCTGAGCCTGCTCATAGCCCTTTCATGTGCATAGGTGGGGTGGCATTTATTTAATGAATTTGCTATTAGAATCTGATTGCCGGACCAAGACAGCCTGAGCACAGCAGTTCACAGATTCATAAGCTCAAGACTTGATTACTGTAACACTTTATATATATACCTTAACACTTGTTTCTGATGCAGAAGCTGCAACTAGTGCAGAATGCAGAAGACAAACTGGTCGCAGGAGGAGGCTACTGGCAAAAGAGTATGCTACTCCAGTTCAAGAGACCTGCTCAGATTACCTGGGCCTTGCTCCAGGTTATTGTGTTAATTTAGAAAGCCTTAAAGATCACATGGTTCCTTGTGCTCTGCCTCAGTTGCTGAGGTCTTCTGATGGGGGATTTTGGGTGGTCTCACATGACCTTGGTGTTCAGCTAGCTTCTGCTAGGGGGCAAGCTTTCAGTGTCCCTTGTTTCCCCCATGGAACTCTTTGCCAGTGGAGACTCAGCAGGAATCATTCTGACAGGGCTTTCAAAGTCTCTGGGATTACTTCCCAACTAACTTCTACTGATGCGGATATTATTATTTAATCTTTTTACAGTGGCACCTCGGGTTAAGAATTTACCGTATTTTTTGCTCTATAAGACTCACTTTTTCCCTTCTAAAAAGTAAGGGGAAATGTGTGTGCATCTTATGGAGCGAATGCAGGCTGCGCAGCTATCACAGAAGCCAGAACAGCAAGAGGGATTGCTGCTTTCACTGCGCAGCGATCCCTCTTGCTGTTCTGGCTTCTGAGAGTCAGAATATTTTTTCCTTGTTTTCCTCCTCCAAAAACTAGGTGTGTCTTGTGGTCTGGTACGTCTTATAGAGCAAAAAATACGGTAATTCGTTCCGGAGGTCCGTTCTTAACCTGAAACTGTTCTTAACCCGAGGTACCACTTTAGCTAGTAGTGCCTCCCGCTGCCGCTGCACGATTTCTGTTCTCATCCTGAAGCAAAGTTCTTAACCCGAGGTACTATTTCTGGGTTAGCAGAGTCTGTAACCTGAAGCGTCTGTAACCTGAAGCGTCTGTAACCCGAGGTACCACTGTACTGTAATTTGGAAGCAATACTGTGTTTTTAGGTTGTATACCACCTTGTGATCTCTCATACAAACGTGCAATTTGTATCTATTTAAGTACTTCAGTTAGCAAAATAAAACTGTGCTGGAAATGGTTGTTGAAGGACAGCATCAATTCTGTGAAACAAAGCAGTCTCCATTAATGTTATCCGTTCAACTCCACTGTTCCACTGCACTGCGTATACTGTAATGTTTTATTGTTGCTATGGCTAATGCGAATAAAGTTTTTATCTTTCTCTCTCTTGCCACTGTTCAACTCCACTTATTTAAGGGTTTCTAATGGTTCTCTGGAAGACACTTCTGATGTAGAATGAGGGCCCCAAGGTATTATTTGGAGCTGGATGCTGCTGCAACTGTGCTGAAGCTAAGCTGGTCTCGGTCAGCTCAGTTCCTGGACAGGAGGCAACAAGGGAGCCGTACGCATTACCACATTTCAGTTCAACCACAGAAGAAAAAGGGGAGGCAAATGCTTTGCGATGCAATTGAAATTTTAATATGAGAGCAAAGAGATGCAAATAGTTCAGTGAAAAGGGCAAACAGAATACAGACTGAAAGAAACCATGTTCCATAATACTTTCTTCCCGCAAGAAAAAGAAGGGTCGTAGAACAGGATGGAAGAAGATCACAAACCAAAAGGGTATACAATGCATGTTCAGAAATGGGAGCATTCACAATCAGGGTTGCATTTCCTTTTTCTTTTTGGGAGGAGAGAGATCTTAGGACATTACACTGGGGAATTTAGGGAAGGGCCCCAGTGTGGCGTTCATATTGCAATCTCTCTCTGGCTCTTTCTCCCAATTCCATAATTCCCAATTCAGATGCCACAGGTTGTTGCTTGTGCCAGTTCTGATGCTGGGTGTTCAATCTCTCAGAAGGCAGTGGTAAGAACCGGTCCAGCTCTTCCTTATTTTTGTTTGCCCCATTGTTCTTCCATGCACATCCTTCTTTGGTCTTGATTTAGAATTGGCAGCTACCATAGTTGCATGGTAGCTGGGGCTGAGAGTAGAAGTCGGACACGTTGGAGCCACCACTGCCATACAGAGAAGGTCTTCCGTGAGTGTATCTAGCACATGGGTTGTACTGCTCAATGCAGAAAGGCTGGTCAGGGCAACAGAGAGCTGGCCCTGGGATGGTCAGGACAAAAGGTGGTGGTCGGATGGTCACTGTTGAAGGAGGGCACTGGGCATAGCAAGGATCCTGCCACATACCAGAACGACGGCCATAAGACATCTTTGAGGTTTAGAGGTAGATCTAAAAGAAGAGTCAGTGTTATGCAGAATTCCCAGAAGTCTGAGACAGACACAGGTTAAGGGCTCTGTTGGATCAGACCAAAAGGCCATCTACTTGCACACCATGGAAAAGATAATCTGATTGCTTGGTAACTTCCTCTTTGTGGGACTCATAGCTGGGCAGTAATATATTCTGGATTATCAAGCTCTGGATTTTCCTCATTGAGTAGAAAATTGTTCTTGTAAATCTATATGGCCTCCTCCAACTCTACAATTTAGATGAGCCAGTCTTCTGACTCAATATAAGCAATTCCCTTAACCAAATGAGAAAGTGCAGAAGGTCCCAGGTCTAAATAGTGGTGGTATCAGTTTAAAGGACCTCTCATAGAAAGAATGAGAAATACTTCAGCCTGACACATTTTAGGATAGATAGTCCAAGGGCCTGGTAGTTTCCTCTTGGTGGGACTCACAGCTTCATGGTAGAGCTGTGTAGAAGGCAACAACTGCCTCCACCACTGCTATTGCTACTGCAAAGCTTGTGAGTTCTAGCAAAAAGGAAGCTACCTTCCATTTGGACCAATGATAAATCTCAATCAAGTATCTCATCTAAGCATGTAAATCAGTGGTGAGGAACCTGTGGCAACAACTGGCAACCATACCTCTACCACAAAGGTTTTGAATTCTACTGAAAAGGAAGCAACCTACCATTGGACTTTCTACCCCAATAACAATATTCAAGAAACATTCTCATCTATGCTGGTAAAGCAGTGGTGAGGAACCTGCGGCACTCTAGAAGGTGCTGGACTGCTGCTCCCATTTATTGGAGAGTTGGAGTCCAATGACATCTGGAAGACTGCATGTTCCTCACCTATATTGTAAGCCCCAGAGAGCTTTTGCCGGTTGCACTACCCCAACCCACTACAATATTCCATCATGCAAAGAAGAAGAAGCAACACAGGCCGATTTGCTTGAAAACCTCCCACAATGCAGCAAATCCCTGAGCCTACTTATCCTCAACAATCAGCAGCTACTGACAGACCCCTGCAGAAATGTGGCACACTTAGAAGAAGAAGAAGAAATGGCCACAGTTCCAGAATCCAAGTGGACTTACCTATTTCTCTGAGAAGTGCAGAAATTAAGATAAGTGTTTGGAAGAAGCCTAGAGCAAAGGCTTTTTATACTGCTTGGTGGTAGCAGGAAGCATATTTAAGACTTCCTTTTTTTCTCAGGGGGTATGATGGTGAGCTGATAAATTGCCACAGGGAAAATCCCCGATTGCTTCAAAGAGCTGACACCCTTTCCTTTATAATCTAATATTCATGAATTATCACCTCACTTTCATCATACATTTCTCTTGAACTCCGTATCAAAGTCTTTTACAATACCAGTGGCTGCATGACGAATATTTCAGCCTTGCATGGACAAAGTGCCATGACTCAGCATTTCGTCTTCATGAAGCTGCTTCCCGGAAAATTGTACATCGCCATCAACAACTGGTTACGAGACACAGCCGGTGTTGGTGGTCATCAGGATAGAGTCATTGTCAATGCCTTGAAGCCACTAATTTGGCCACTCAATTCTCCCTTCATAGAAGACCCCTGAGAAGATGGGGATCTGGAAAAGGTGCAGAATAAGGCAACCCAAATGATCAAGGAGCTGGAGCAATATCGGCAAAGGTTGCAACATTTGAAAAGCTTGCTACTCTTTAGAGAATAGACAAGTAAGGGGAGAGAACATGATAGAGGTCTGTGAGATTATGTTGGTGTGGACAAAGTGGACCCTCTCTCATAATACTACAACTACAATGGGGCTATCCAATGAAGCCGAATATAGAAGATCCAGGTCAGACGAAAAGAATGATTTCTTCATGCAGTGCATAGTTAAACTATGGAATTCACTCATTAATATATAGTGATGGCAACGAACCTTGGAAGGCTTTAACAGAGCAATAGACAAATTCATGGAGGCTATCAATGGCTCCAAGTCATGATGGTTGCCCAGTGCTTACTCCACCCCTGACCAGTGGCCATGCAAGCTGGGCCTGGTGGGGGTTGTAGTGCAACCACAGCCAGAGTACCACAGCTTCCCTATGTTGGTACTAAACCAGTGCTTGAACTAAACCTTGCTGCCTATACCACCTCCATCAAAGCACAGTCTTCTTCTAATTCAGGAATAGGGAACCTGTGGTCCTCCAGATGTTATTAGACTACAGTTGTCATCACCAAACCTGACAGTTATCCACGCTGGCTGTGGTTAACGGGAGTTGGAGTTCCACAACTTCTTGAAGCAGGGCTTCCACCCTTGGTCTACCACAAATTTTCTTGAGAGTCTTAAGGAATCTCCTATATTCTCAGAATAACAACTGACGGGAAGATGTCATTTTGCAACTTCTCAGCTAGTTGTTGCTGATTTGCTAGCTGTTGCTAGTGTGTTCTACAATAGTTAACTGATTTAAGATGGTTTGGCAAGTAGGAAAAAAATATAACAATATGTGGCAGATTGGTGCTGTTTTATTGTTTATGCAAGCAAAGTTGAAACACCAAGACATGTCCAAGCCACATACAAAACTCAATAGCTGCTCTGAACATCATGGACTTGAATTTTAATACTTCCTGTCAGGTAGTATTGATGGACTAATGTTTATAGTTTGTTTTCAACTCTTGTTTGGAACTCCCCTTGTCTCCTCTACAAGATGAGGAGGGAATTAAAACTATTAAAACTATGTTAATTACAAATTTTACTTTCACCATAGTGTTGTAGGGGATGCAAGTAAGTATGTGATTATAGACATCCCTGGGATTGTGGAAAAATACAAAAGTCCTGGCTTTCTGTGTTTTAAGAGATAAATGCAATTACAAATTGTAGCACACTACCCACCCCACAGCTGGCTCTCCTAAACATTTTGGAAGAGAATGGTAAAAGATTACACTGTAAGGAGTTCATTATTCATGTGCTAAATGTGGCCAAAGTCACAATAGCCCAATTTTCAAGGGATCTAGCCAGGGCAGATATTTCTTCAGGGTACCCAAAGGCATAGGAATCAGCCCTACCAGAAAAATCAAAATATAAACTGAGAACCACAAAAAACCAAGAACAAATTTATTTGTTTGAAATTACTATTATTTGCATCAATAATTCAGAACATAACCACTTTCCCTCCATCTATAAATGGCTGTGGGTAATAAAAAAGGAGTATGTGTAGCTAAAGTTTGTTGGAAATACAACTCCTCCCATCACCCCAGAAAACAAGGAATATCTGTCTATCCATCTTTCACATTTATATCCCATATTTTCCCCAAAGAGTTCAAGTTGGCATACATAGTTCTCCCCATTTTATCCTCACAATAGCCCTGTGAAATAGTTTAGGTTGAGATTGAGTGATTGGCCTAAGGTCACAACCCATTGAGCTTCATGTCCGAGTGGGGATTTGAACCCTGGTCTCTCAGATTCTAGTCCAGAACTCTAACCACTACACCACACTAACTCTCATTGTCAATGGTGTTTCTTAAATTGTTTATAAACTAACTATAGTTTCTATTATATCTAAAGTCAGGAATGTATTGCTGATGTCTCTGGGCTCTCTTTGCTTTGATCTTTCATACCTGCTTTCTGTGATGGTTTTGTTCTATGCTCTATTTTGCATTTTAATAAAATAAGCATTGCAAAAAAGAATAGCAACTGAAGGAGCTGACCAGCTTCACACACACACACACACACATACACACACACACATCCCACAAACACAACCCTGGTGGGGACGGTGGAGGGTAAAGGAAGCTCTGAGATCTCTTGCCAGAAGTCTCATCTTCTAAATGTGAGGACAGTTGCAAACCTTATTCTGGCTTTGTTTACATGCAACATTCCAGACAACCATCTCGTGACTCCCAGTTCTGAAGATAATGAACTGTGGTTGGAAGTGCGTTGATTTGCTCAAAGCTACCAGGCAAGTACATGCCTCCACAGGCAACTGAGTCCCAGAATGGTCCACACCTTTGTGACTGAGCTCTGCCCACTTGGACCACACTGAAAGTGTGATTCGTAAGTTAAGTACAGGAAATATGTTGCTCAAACCACAGGTAATACTCGCTATTACAGATGGTGTTGACACTACGAATTGATATATCTCATAATTGCTGGGTGCCCTGGGACACCAGGTAATAATTACCTGGAAAGATATAGAAGGGAAGGTGTAATTATTCGGGCCCAAATTGCAGCGTGCTTGCCATCTGCCAGTGTTAACTGGAATGTTTGTAGGAAGAGAAGTCCAATTTGGAAAATGATTACCAGAAGTAACAGCAATTGCCAAGCAGTTGAGGGTAAAACCAAAGATCATTGCAGCAGGCTATTTGGTGTTCTTGGAGGAAATAGATTATCTTGATCCCTTTCAGTCTGGTATTAGCCAGGATTTCAGGCGACTGAAACCATTTTGGTTGCCTTTAATTATGATCTGCTGTGCAAGAGGTACGTGTGTGTGGAGGCGAAGGCTATCAGTGGCTATCAAAGCTATGCTTTGCCTCCACAGCTGGAGGAAGCAATGCTTCTGAATATGCAGCTGCTGCAAACCACAGGAGGGGAGAGGGCTCTTGTGCTTGAATCCTTCTTGTGGGCTTCCCATTGGGGCATCTGGTTGCTCACTGTGAAAACAGGATTCTGGATTAGATGGACCACTGGCCTGATCCAGATGGCCTCTTCTTGTGTTCTTATGTGTGAGAGAAAGAGAAAGTGAGAGGGGACACGTTTGCCAACTTCTACTTTTAACTATGGATCTCTGTGATGACTCTCATTTTACATATCCATGAAAAAGAGGATGCGTCCTGGAAAAGGAGGATGTATGGCAACCCTTAGCTTAAATTATCTTGATCTCTTGTTGGTTTTGAGTACCACCAGCCATGGTATCTTACTCGGACAGCCGTGTGGGTTGTTTGGGGCACAGTGCTATTGTAGTTCTGCTCCTAACTCCAAGGTTAGTTCTGGAAGGTGGAACTGGGGAACATTTTCTCCACCCCACGGAAATGAAATTATGGGATCCAAAGCACAGTTCTTTATCCCTATGTTCTTTATATGAAGCCACAGGGCAAAGCCATTATACTTTTTGGAGCTTGATGGTGTCAGTATGCTGACGACACGTAGCTCTGTTTCTCTATGTACTCTGAGTCAGGTGGAGCTATGTAAGTACAGTGGTACTTTGGTTTACAAACTTAATCAATTCCGGAAGTCCGTTCTTAAACCAAAGCATTCTTAAACCAAGGCGTGCTTTCCCATAGCAGCGGGGGACTCAATTTACAAATGGAACACACTCAACATGTTCTGCTTCCAAGGTAAAGTTCACAAACCAAAACACCTACTTCTGGGTTTGCAGTGTTCTTAATCCAAGTTGTTCACAAACTAAGCTATTCTTAAACCAAGGTACCATGGTACTGGAGCTAAATTCAGTCAGACAAAAGCATGCAGGAATAATGCAGAAAAGAACAGTTTAACATTAAATCCTTCTTCCTAGGGAGCTCTGGAAATTGTAGCTCTGCGAGGGTCTCCTAACTACTCTCAGCAACCCTTAACAAACTACAGCTCCCATAATTCTTTGAGGGCAGAGCCATAAATGTTTAAAGTAGTATCATAGTGCTTTAGATGTATGGCGTGAATTTAGTTTAATTGGGAGTCAGAAGGGGTGGAACGAAGGAAAGAGTGATACGAGGGAACAAACAGGACCATCCCTACTGTAAGGCATGGGGAAGAAGCTGCCTCAGACAGCAGGCACTGGTTGACAGTAAGAAGCTGTTAATGGGTAGAGCTGAGCTGGCTATAAACTGGGGAGTAATTTGATTCCATTGACATTTAAAGGAAAAACTACATAAGTGTCTTGCATTTTTTGAAAGATTACTTGAACTGAAACACAGCCAACCTAAGAAATTTGCATCTCTTTGAATTTTGCAATGAGGTCCTCCAACCAAGGAATATTGGGGGGGGGGGGGAATTGCACACCCTGTGCTAAATTGTGCATAAACTTGCAAAAATTTATGATGATAACATACAAAATTTTCATTATATCAGAAGAAATTGCTTTGCAGAAAATGCGTATTTTAGGCAACGTTGCATGCAAAATTATGTATATGAGCAGAAATTCATAATAAAATCTTGATGAACTGTCATATGGGCTTCAAA